TTGACCAACAGCATTCTATTTTCAAAAAATGATCAATTTATATGAATTACAAATAACATGTGTATCATATTTACATGTTGAAATACAGCTTCTGGGTTGATGCAATATACAGAATATTAAAAATTGTAATAATAGCAGGTTATGATGTATAGTAAAATTTGCTTTTAACTGATTGTATTGAGTTTGACGTCCCAATAAAAAATATATTGTTCACATAGGGATGTCAACATAATCGATAAATAACTTACTGAAAAACACATGTTAATTGTGCAACTATGAATAAATATACAAATACAAATAGCATTAATTATTTAGCAAAATGTTTGATGAATTTAGGAAGAATAATAAAAAGATGAGAGCAATATAAAACAGTGCAGAACAAAAAATTGAATTATTTCCACAACATATACTGTGAAAAAGCCCCCCCCCCCCTTTCCAAACACATAAGACCTAAATAGATATTTGCTGATAGAATATGAAAAAAAATATTAGTTATAATAAGAGGTTTTGAGTATTTAACCCTACTTTGATAAAATATTGTTTTTCAAGAGGTAAATATACACATGCAGTGTTCATTAAAGTTCGACAGAGGAAATTTTGTAGGTCACATATGACAAAAACTATGTTTTGACTCGCAGTGCAAGCGTAATGTTAGAGACATGGATAACTGTAGAACTGTTTTTGCATATGAACTAATTAATGTTTAAAATTTCCTTTGTATTTATCGTGAGGTGTGAAAAAAAACGGCTTTATGTGTCCATAGGTCTAGAAGAAAATTGATAGTGCAAGCCAAACAATGGGCTTTAATTAGAGTAAATTAATAGTTTAGCATTAGAAACTGAAAACGGTACATAATTTTGAGGTTAAGAAGTTTATTTGACTTAAAAAAAATATAATTCATCGTGCTGTCAAACGATGATCGTACTGTGGCGCTAATATTTTAACTGTGGCGGAACTATGGGTGCTGATTTTTTCACTGTGGTGCTAAAGAATAATTATTTAATTGTCGCGGGGCCGCCACGTTAAACGGTCCATGGAGAACCTTGCTTTAAATGCGCATAATAGGTATAAGGAAATTTGTCATTAAAGAGAAATATTTATTACAAGGAAGTAACATGTATATTATGGTCTTCTCCAAAGTAATATCTTAGTATTTGTAAATAGATTTAAGGAAGTAAACTTGAAATCCTTAATGGATTTACAATCAATAAATGTATTAGAAAAGGAAAAAAAGAGACAGAGAAGGGACACATTTACAATACGTTTTGCGTAAACGTCAAATGGTTATTAGAACATTTCACGATAACTGCAGCACTGCTCTTTTGCATGGAAAAATTATATACTTTGGTAAAATATGACGTAAAAGCAACTGAGTAAAAATGTCATTTAATTATCTGGCAACAAAATATTCGCCAAACGTTATTCATTTGCCCTGGAGAAGAGCAGTACCGCAGTTACCTTGAAGGGGCTGATTGCTGATACATTTTTGCTCAATATTTCATGCTTTTTGAACTTTTTTGTGGAAAAAAAAAACATGAAAGAATCTGTAATTCTACCATAATTAAAATCACTGATGTAATTTAACATGCATTTTTCTAATTTTAATGTACGGGTATAGTTCCTCTTGCTTATGAGTTACTTGCGTTACAAAAAAACAGATTTCTTATGAGATATAAATTAATATTGTGCGTGCAGTATAAAATATCTTTGCGGATGAAATTATTTATACGTTCTCTTACCTCGATATAATTTGCATTGATGTAGTCTCCGGTGTCAGTTCTTAAAGCAACACGGGAATGGTCGTCTGTTTTTAATGAATATATTTAAACTTCTTAAGATGGCAGATTTCAGTTTAAAAAAAACTAATTCAGAGAATCTGTGTCAACTTGCATAAGGAAAAGAAGAGAATGCACAGATCTGGACTGGGAGCTCGAGGCGATAAAAGAGGGATGGATATGGCAAGAGGGAGGTATGGTATATTTCATTGCGAAGCTCAATACCTTCTTGGCATATTTTAATACGCATACAAAGTTGAATTTACTTCCTTGATTTTTTTTTAGGTCATAGGAATTGCATGTATATAGGTATCAAACACGAAAACTCCTAAAGGATTCTCAAGATATCGCGTGGATACAAGTTTTAAAACAGACAGGACTTATGAATTTATTGCTTAATGTTTTTGCCTCAATAACATTAGAAATTTTAAGGCTATAGGGTGTTTTTAATGTAAAACTTATTAGCGAAATCCAATACACTTTTTGAGATTTCGCCTGGAAAGGAAAACGTTATAGTCAACCCGAAATATAGCTAGACAGACAGATGGGTAGACGGACAGACAAATAGTCTGCAATAATATCCTATACATCTATTGAAATTAGGGTGACATTAAATGGATTACTCACATGGAAAAGTAGTTGTGTATCTATTTTTGGGTTTGTTTTCTGGTTTCTTTGCTTCCTCGCATGGAAAAAGTTCGCCTCTTGGAATTTCCTGTCGATTTAGTAAAAAAAAAAAATCGCGAAAATTACGCACAAATATTTATTTTTAAAAATCCATGAAGCAGTGAAAAAAAACTTTATTTGTTTATCTTGTTATATAAACGTCATTCCCTGATATTTGACGAGCCATAGAAATCGACTTATAATCAAAATTTGTATACATCTATAGATATTATTATCATAAATTCTAATTGCCTCAGTATATATATTTTTATGACAGCACTTATGCAATACGTGTATATCCTATATTAAGTACACCTATGTTGTCGTACATGATACTCATGCTTAAATCCAGCATTCTCAGCAGCAGACATTTTGGCTATAACTGTATTTAAATTCCTCACAGATATGATTTTGTTTGTTGGACGGCCCTTTTTAGCTGTGTCATGCACATCATCCACTCGGTTCTGATTATTTGTTGATTGTATGTTGCTTTTTCCTTAAAAATAAATATATTTGCATTACAAATATCAGATTCTCGGATATTTCAAATGAATTTTGAACATGTTGAACAATTTATTTTCTCAGCGACAATTTCATAAAAAAAAATGAACACTCATAAATTAAAACCGTAACGGGGAAAAATCGGAAAACAGTGGAAACAATAAATGATTTGAATTAAGATATTCATTTAATCAATGGGTTACTCGGTATAAGTTCCATCGTAGAGCTTGTTTCTTTTAATGTTACTTCCATTTTTTTCAGGAGTTTTATCCCTGCTTTTCTCTTTAACCTTCAAGAAGAGAACATTTAAGATACATCTAATAATTTTTTTGAAAAAATCAAAACACATTTTTTTTAAAAAAAGAAAGAAATACGTACCAGAAGTCTCTGTCGAGACTGTAGCTCTACTGTATTATATTTAAAACAAAGGAAGAGAAAAGTAGAAGTTGGGACTTGGGACTTTAAATCAGCAATAAATAGAAAAATGATCCTTGCCACTCATCAAAATCAAAACCGATGCAAAGAAATATGTATCTTAGTATAGTCTACTTGTGAGCCATGTTATATTGAAATCGGACCAAAACTGTAGGAGGAGTAGCATTTTGAAAGAATTTCACAGAAATTTTTATTTTTAGTAAACACGGCAACACCTTTCATCGAAATCAAAAACCGATGCACAGAATTATGTATCTTGATGTAGTCTACTTGTGTGCCAAATTATGTTGAAATCAGACAAAAACTGTAGGAGGAGTAGCATTTTGAAAGAATTTCACAGGAATTTCTATTTTTAGTAACCACGGTAACACCGTTCATCGAAATCAAAAACCGATGCACAGAATTATGTATCTTGGTGTAGTCTACTTGTGAACCAAGTTATATTGAAATCGGACCAAAACTGTAGGAGCGGTAGCATTTTGAAAAAAAATTTACAGACAGACAGACAGACAGACGGACGGACGACGGACGCATTACTATCGCATAAGCTCTTCTGGTCTCTGACCAGTAGAGCTAATAAAAACACGATTACACTCAATTTTTTCTAAATACTTAGGAAAACTAGATAGAATACAGATTCGGAAGAATTGAGATTGAGTAATTTTTGAATTCATATGTAATACTTTCTGTACCTTATGAAAATGACAGCCAATGCAAAAATGATGATAGCAGCAGCACATGCACCAAAGACGGCAACCAGAGTTATTGCATTCAAAGACGAAACATTTAAAACTTGAAGACCCGATTCCTCTCCTTGAAACAGAATATATTATAAAAAAAAAAGATTAGCGCAGTGTCTTACAAATGTAATCAGCTGAAAAAATATGTAACTGTAAGTAAAATATAATTGTGTATATCCCTTAAATCTTGTACCTGGCGTTAACGTGTTGCAGATAATGTAAGAAGCAGAATACCTTGTACTATACTTTCAAATTATCAGAAAGAAATTAAAGATGAAAGAAAAATTATTGTTATCAGACAGATATGTTAACATCTAAAGGGTTGCTTCATTTTTATTAACTCATCTAAAACTAAAAAACAAAAGTTTGGATGAAAAATTACCATATTTTAGTCTGTTTTCACCCTTGCGATACAGTAATGAAAATACACCATACCTTGTTTGCATCCATTAATATGATGACATGTTTGGTTGCATTTTGAATCACAGACCTCAGAGCAATTTTTCCCAAAGTATCCTGTCTGGCAAGCTTTGGAAAATAAATATAAACTATTAATTATTAGCATATGTATCATGCAAAAAAAGTACATGTATTTTATACAATGATCTTTGTTGAGAAAAACCAGAATACTGAATGTAAAACATCCTTCAAATTCATTCAGTGTTCTTACTATTAAAGCATTGTATCCCAGTGTAACCTTTTAAACATCCCTCTAAACAAGTTCCATCTATGTTGTTGCATTTTCGGTTTTTACAGTGTGCACTACAATTTTCACCGCAGCCCTGACCGAAGAATCCATTGTGACAAACTATTCAATGAAAAGGTGAACGAACAAGCAAACAAATCAAAAATAACTAGCTAAATAAATAAAACTACATGTATATTACATGGATGGCCAAAAACAGTGTAAAAGTGACTTACTGTCATTACAGAGATTTCCCCTATATCCTGGAGAACAACCCTTTTCACAGCGTCCATTCTGGTTATTGCAGGAAGTGCCTCCAAAACAGTAGATACTGCAGTTTTGAGCACAATCTTCACCAAAAGTTCCGTTCTTACATCCTATATAGTCATATATATTTTAAATGATTCAGAGGTTATGTGATTTGTGTCATTGAAATTACACCAGAAATCAATCAAAAAATATAATTAAAATGTATATCTTCAGGAAAGATAATAGAAGCTTGGATGCAGTTGTATTTGTTGTCTTGACATAATCACAGAAGATGAATCAGAACAGAGTAAATGCAATTGATGTTAAATACGGTTACCTTGACATCATATTTCTTCCGGATTTTTAAAAAATATTACAAAAGTGGGAATACTTCATAAATGAATACCTAATAAAACATTCTTTAAAAATATATAATTTTGCAGTTTTTTAAATTGAAAATAAATTAATAAAATATTTGACCGTCAATTGACAATTTATAAAAGCTTCTAATGACTTGTATGTTTCTCTTCTAAAAGAAAGAATATGGGTGTTTTGTTTATATTTACGTTGGTCACACTGCTCTCCCATCCATCCAGCTGCACATCCTGCGTCACAATTTCCGGTCACGTGGTTACAGGAAATGTTTCCTTTACAGTGACCGGAACATTCGCTTTTACACTTTTCACCATACCACCTCCAAGGACACTCTGATTTTAGAAAAGATAACGTATGAATTCAACTTTTTTTCTATGAAAAGTGTCTGTAATGTTGCAAAATATTTGAGAATTGCGTAAAATAACGTATTACCCTTACATGCATTTTCAATCAATATCATTGCAATAATACTATTTACCGGTTTGGCACATTATTCCAACGTATCCAGGATTACACCCTAGGCATGTTCCGTTGACAATGTTACAACTCTGCTTTTGACAGTTGACCGGACAGGGAATACTACAGTTATTTCCATAAACACCAGCTTTATTACAGCCTAGAAAATATTAAAGGAAATTAGTATTTGAAATAAGCACTATCTGAAATCAAGCAAAATGTTGTCTGTCTTTAAGGAATCATGCATTTGCCTTTCACATTTAGAGTCTGGCAAACCAAAAAAAAAAAAAACAAAAACAAAACAAAAAACAAAAAACAAAAAAACGAATGAATGAATATCGAAAGAAGTGGACTGAAGCATTGAAATTATAATCTTTCGAAATCATTTGTCAATCTTCCAAACACATTGATTTTCTTTGGATATCAATTTTATATTTTGCCCTCTCTGTCATGCAATATCTATATTTTATAGCAGTGAAATTCTAAAAATAAAATAAGACAGAAAATAATCATTGTGGAAGTACAGGGTGTCCCGACATGCATAATATTATTTGACATAATCTTCTGCATGATGTGATTTGATAAGTTTCTTAATATTAATATATATAAATACAATATATATCAACAAAGTATTCCCGTAAAATGCTCTTATACTGTCACAAATCAACAACAAAAATGTTGTAAATTGCATTTCAGTTAAAATGGAACTATAAAACGAGCTAGCTACAAAATCAAGACGATTACTACAGAGAAATGCACCTCTGTCTTAAGTTAAGAAAGATTTGTGCAATGTATTAACATGATCATTACCCAGATAGGACGTTATAAAGAGTACATCATTAAAACCATGACATTTTTCAAAGTGAACTTTTTTTGTCGTGTTGCTTTCCATGTCAATCAAATCATGTGAATAGATTTGGACAGTATTGTACGAGGACTGTTACAATGTAAATAAATAATGTCATCCGTGTTCGGAAAGAAACGAAAAGCTTTTCAATTATTAAGTCTTGATGATTTCATTAAATATTTTTTTTTTAATTAAAATACATGTCCGTAACATTTTTATTCATTTTTTATTTGTTTTTAGAACACATTTTTGAGTATGTCCCTTCGTTTACTGAAAAATGGCAGATCTTATGATTTTCTGTACTTAATTTTTCTTTCTGAAATGTGTCTTTTCAAGTTTGAAAAATAATACACGTCAAAGGTTCAAAGATCTGGCGAATATTGTTGATGTGAAAAAACATTAACTTCTTTTTAACTCCAAAACTCCTTTACTCTCCAAAACTTGTGGGTTTGGACGCTGTCATTAAGAAATTATTGCAGAGGATTCCTGATTCTGGTTCCTTCCTCTTATAAACTTTTCAATTTTTTTCAAAATGTTTGCTTTCTAGGCTTTTCCAGAAATTGCTCTTCCACCCCAATAAGAATTTGAAAAAGAAGACCACTTATTTTTAAGAAAATAGAATATTGCAACCAGAGTAACTAATACTTCAAGTACACTAATAGATCACTTTTACACCAATAAACCAGATAACATGTGTGAAGTAAATGTACCTTTTATAGCCATCTCTGACCATTACCCAATATGTGCTACTAGAAAAACAAAATGCATGCAACAAAAAGGAAAACACATAGAAATAGAGTATAGAGACTTCAAAAAGTTTGATGAAAATAAATTCCTCCACGACTTAAAAGATGTAGACTTTAACAATCTCCTCCAGATGCATGACCCTAATGAAATACTAACTGAATTCTATGAATTATTTAATAGCATACTTGACCAGCATGCAAAGGTTAAAACAAAACGCGTAAAGAGCGAAATCCGCCCTAAATGGATGACACAAGAAATAAACAATGCTAGACATTTACTCTTACCATAAAGGAGGAGATATGGAGAACTATAGAATTTATCGAAACAAAGTTAGTCTTCTTATAGACAAATCAAAATCGTCTTACTATAAAACAGCTATTGAATAAAGTTCAAATCCCAAAGAAATGTGGAACTATCTTAATCAATTAACATGTAATTCAAAGAACATAACACCATCTCATGTGTTTTCTAATGGGGAAATTGTTGATAATTTACAGGATATTGCAAATACTTTTAATAACCACTTTACGGATATCTCTAATAAGCTTCTGACGAAAATGCCTAAACATGATTATGATCCTAATATATTATGTAATTTTGTAAGGTCTAAGCTTGATGAGGAAACCATCTTTAGTATTCATCATATTGAGGAAAGTGAAGTTTTTAACATGCTAAATTCTCTAAATATCAATAAATCAGCTGGCATTGACTTTATTGGGCTGCGTCTTCTAAAAGTCGCATCCAAATATATTTGTAAACCTATAACTCATCTTATTAATGCTAGCATAGTAAGTGATATTTTCCCGACAAATTTAAAACAAGCCAAATTAACACCTATATTTAAGAAAGGTGACAAAGCTGACCCGAATAATTATCGTCCGATTTCTATTTTACCAACTATATCTAAAGTGATAGAAAAACATGTAGCTAAGCTAATACAAAACTTCACTAACGAATTTGATCTACTAACACAATCCCAGTCGGGATTTAGGGAACTCCATTCTTGTCAAACTTCACTTACAAAACTAACAGAAAGTTGGCTTAATGCAATGGATCGTGGTGAACTAATCGGCATTACATTTATAGATTTTAGTAAAGCTTTTGATTTGGTGAATCATGATATTCTTCTAGAGAAATTAAATCATTACAAATTTGACCAAACAGCTATAAAATGGTTTAAGTCGTATCTTTACGACAGGACCCAGTGTGTTAAATTCACAGCAGGAGTGCCACGAGGGTCAATTCTGGGCCCTCCTTTATTTTTATTGTACATAAATGACCTTCCATTACATGTAAACAATTCAAATATTGATATGTTTGCTGATGATGTTACTATGTATTCAAATAAACATAATGAACGATGTTTAGAAAATATGCTAAATGCAGATCTTTGTGAGACTGAAAAATGGTGTGCTCAAAATCAAATGGTTTTAAATGTAGATAAAACAAAATGTATGTTAATGGGAACACAGCAAAAAAAAAATCAAAATTAGATAATCCAAATTTACAACTTTATGCCTCAGACAAAACAATTGAAATTGTTGAAAGTGGAAAAATTCTTGGTGTACATATTGATGATAAGTTACAGTATGCAAATCATATTGACTCAGTTTGTAAAACTGTTAATTATAAGCTATTTACGCTTCGCAGGATTAAGAAATTTCTCCCTCTTCATACCAGGAAACTTTATTACAACGCTTATATTTTACCATCTATCAACTATTGTTTGACTGTTTGGGGTATTATGCCCTCAAGCAGGACATGGACAGACTATCTGAATTACAGAAAAGGACAGCAAGGATTATCCTTGACGCAAGTCCTGATTCTTCTTCTAAACCACTTTTGAGAAACTTGGGTGGTTAACAGTTTATGAACTAGTTGATCTATACAAATACATATTATTATACAAAATTTTCAGTGGAATGACTCCCGAATATCTTCGTAATTTATATGAATTTCAGTCTTCAACTTCTTATAACCTGCGATCTGAAACTAATTATGATTCTAGATTACCAAAATTTCGTACAAACTTATTCAAGACCTCTTTTCAATATTCAGGTGTACATCTATGGAATAAACTTCCCCAACACATTAGATTCTCTCAATCTCTACGAACATTCAAGCGTAATGTGGAAAATTACATTGTCAGCTGTCGTACAATCATTTGAGCATAATAAGAGTTCAATATTGTATATTGTACTGTTATTGTTAAAATGTGTCTGTATTTGAACACTCTATTCATAATTCAGTGATTGTAATTCCTCAAACCAATACATGTACTTAATTGTATATAATTATGATGAATTGTATCTTGAAGAAGTGTATATATTTTGTATTTGATATATGTATATATATAGAGGGCCCTGGGGAAGAATAGTGCCTGCACTAACCAGGTTACCTTCTTTAAATAAAGTTTTATTATTATTATTATAAGCCTGTTCTGTTGCAATTCTTTGCTCTCCTCAGGCCTTTTCTGTTTTGTCAAGTGCATATTATTAATATAAAGTTGTTTTGAGAGTTCCAAGCAATGGAATCAAGTTTCATAATCCGTTTGAATTTCAGACAATCGTGGTTAAGAACTTTTTTTTATTTTTGAAAATAATTGTTTACACGCTGTCATTTTCTCTCATTTTTTTAAACATAGGGTGGCCTTTGAGTATTAAGCTTTTTTTACTATCAAATGTTTCCTTAACACATTGTAAACTACCCCAACAATGATGCCTATCAAATTTGCTTTTTGTCTGAAAGTCAATCAAACATAATCCGTGATAATTTGTTGAATTTTCGCAAACAGTACATTGGTTGTTGTAAGTCTTTGTCGCCAAGGACGGTACCGATTTTTTATGTATATTTTATCATTTTTCTCCATTTAAAATCCACCTGCTAATGTGTGTATGAAACAGATATTGAATGCTGTAATTTTCACATATTTCAGTTAATATTTCTTTGGGATTCTAAACAAGTTTTACAGCAGCTCTAATGAAGTGTTTAATTTTCCTTGTTTACTGATTTTTTTCCCTTCATTTGTAATGTAGTGTCTAGAATAGCCCTCGTTTTCCAGCTTCCCACAATGAAAATATGTGATGAAAAGTGGTCACATAAGTTGTTATCAATTCATTAAAGATTCAATAATTAGAGAAGGTCAAATTTAATGTCATATTATTTCTATGTTGTATGTCATCGAGCTGCTGATGACATTATTTATTGCACAGCCCTCGTATAAGCATTGCTTATAGTACATTTGTTATAATTCAATATTTATGTTATGTTTTACATTTTTACGAATGATATCATATATTCTGCGAAACCCTCTACAAAAACAGAATGAACATTGAGTGTCATGTAAGTATATAGATAAAAACAATCGGTTTCGATAAGTGATTGAAATATACCGGTAACAATATTACTGTAGATCCTGTTTTATTCTGAAAAAGCTTGTTCATGCTAGATTAGGAAAAAAAAACCTCGAGCTCGGGGTAAGACAACATTTGGAATTATTGGATTTTTAATTTATTTTTTTTTAAATAATTCAAAATCGTTTTTATATATAATCGTTATGTAATTTTTAGGCATAACAATATTATTATTAATAGACCTTGTATTTTCACTTCACATAATTCTGTGTATGAACTCTGATATTGGTATCTCTCAGGGTAAGCAACTCCGTCCAGCCTTTCGTTGTAATAGATGACGTAACGACCATATCCTATACACGTTGTCTTAAACTCCAGCGGCGGTAACGGAAGTGTGTTCTTGTAACAAAGACGACCGTCATCTTTCCTAGGAGTGTTGGATATGTAAAGGGAAAATCCGGCAAAACGACCTCTTTGTCTTATCACTGAAAAATTATAGAAATAAAATTTTACTTGACAGTGTGTTTATCTTCACATGTTTTAATATTTTTGACTCACAACGGGTGTTAAATTGTATCATATGAGTTCTTTCAAAAAATGTTTCAGATAACGCCAATAAAACTATCTTAGGCAAAGATCCTGAAATTTCATAACGGCAGGGCACAGTAGATGGTCAAGGGTCCGAAGACTGCATGGAAGCCCCTAAAGGGTCCAGGGTGTGGGTCCGAGGGAAAATAAAAGAAATTCTAACGATAAATATTTTAAGTACATAAGATTTTTCCCTTTGAGTTTTGGATATTATAAACAAAATTTGAAAAACAAAAAATCCAAACGGGAGAGCGCATGCCCGGCGCGCCGGCCCTGAATCAACCTTTGATAGGCTCATGCATTTTTTTTTTTTAGGACGTTGCCTTAATGTTGCCGTATTTGTAAAAATTGAATTGGGAATTTAAAACAATTTTTCGGATATACAACCGATATTTGTGCTACACAGAGACTTATATTATAAAAGATAAATTGATAGTTTCATAAAGTTGATAATTTTGTGGAAAGTGACTGCAGTGTGTTTTTTTTGCATGAGCAAAAGAATCTGCACAGAGAACTTGATCGCTGGCCCTAAATTTACCTTTGATAACCAAAATTTAAGGAAATGATATTTACGAGGGACGTTCAATAAATAATGTCCTCGGGGCTCGGAAAGAAGCAAAAGACGCTTTTCAATGATTTAGTATTCATGATTTAACTTATTAATCATTTTTGATTAAAACAGATGTCCGTAAAAATGTTTATCTAATTTCTGATTGTATTTAAAACTCATTTTTAGGTATGACCCTTAGTATACTGGAAAATGGCAGATCCAATGATTTCCTGGACTTGTTTCTCCCTTCTGAAAGATGTTTTATCAAGTTTGGAAATAGAAACAATTCAAAAGGTCAAAGATCTGACGAATATTGTGAATGTGAAAAACATCAACTTTCTTTTAATCCCGAAAATTCCATTTACTCTTCAGGGGTGCGGGTTTGGACGCTGTAATGAAGAAATTTATTGTAGTGGATTCCTGATTCTAGGTCCTTCCTCTAATAAACCTTTCAATTTTTTTTGCAAAAAAAAAAAATGCTTTTTAGACTCCTCCAGAAATTAAACTGTCTCCCCGAATACGAAATTGAACAACAGTACCGCTAATATTTAAGAAAATTGCATATAAATCTGTCTTTGTGCTCTTGCACACCTTTGCTCTTCGCGGACCATTGTTTTTTAATCAAGTACATCTAATGGTAAATTTTGTATTGAGTGTTTTAAGCAATAGATTCATGTTCCATTATCTTTTTGAATATGAACCAAACAAGGATAACTACAGTTACTGATATTTTAAAATAATTTTTAAGACATTCCTACTCGATGTCGTTTACACTCATTTTTCAAAATATACGATGATCTAATCTTTGAGTACCAAGCTTTTATACCGTCAAACGTTCTTATAAACATTGTAAACTACTCCCGATATGATGTCTATCTTTGAATTTTTTGCTATGTGTCTTAAAGTCAGTCATACATCATCAGATATTATTTGTTGAAATTGGGCAAATAGTACATAAGGTGTTATAAATTTTGTTGGCAAGGACGGTACCCATTTTTGATGCCCATTATATTATTTTTTATAATTGAAATTCACTTGCTTATTTGTCTATAAAACAGGCATTGGTTGATGTAAATGACACATATTTCAGTGAAAATTTCTTTGGGATTTTTAACACGTCTTACAGCAGCTTTAATGAAGCTTTTATTTTTACTCTAGTTTACTGATTCTTTACCATTCATTTATAATGCAGTGTCTCGAATAGCCCTTGTATCCCAACTTCTCACGATGAAACTATGTGAGGAAAACTGGTCACATAAACTGTTATCAATTCATTAAAGATTCAATAATGAGAGAAAGTCTAGCTTAATGTCATATGATTTCTATGTTGCATGTCATCGAGCTAATGACATTATTTATTGAACGTCCCTCGTATCTTTGATGTTTCTTGTAGATATATATTTTTTTCGGAGATTCATCCACAGATTTCACCCTTGGGGAGATTAGATTTCAGAAAATTTTTTTCTCCATTAAACATCTATTTAAGTAGTTCCTTAAAGTTAAGATATTTTCTTCAACGACTAATTGTTTTTAATATTGTACTGTTAGGTGAAGAGGTCAGCCAGGGCTTGAATAGGCTCGGTGTTGCTTATATTATCTGAAAGAGAGAAATACTGTAAAGTAAAACTAAACAACACGTCTAGGCGCCACATCGCTCATCTGAGCAACTGACCAGGTAAAATGCAAAAATCAGTTCAGCATTGAAAAGTTTAAATATTAAAGTGAGTTCAGGGAATGGGGTTACTTAAATCCATACTTTCTTTCGGATGTCTCTAAATTATTATGATCCATCATGACTTTGTGTTCTTGTGAAAACTTTTAACCATTTTTCATAATATGTATTCCTACAACAAACCTTGTTCACCCATTGTGACTCCGAGGTTTCCACGGGGATCATGATCATGATTTGAACAAATTGAATCCACAGTACCAGCTGATACTTTCATATAAATATTACCAATCATGGCTTTGCTGCTCTTGAGAAGTTTTTAAAAAAAATTCCTATGTTTTCCATGTTAAACTTTGATACCCAGTTGTGGCCCAACGCTTCCCCAAGGGTCATGGTTTGAACAATCTTGAATCTACACAACCTGAAGACCTGAAGGTGCCTTCCATATAACTATGACCAATCATAGCTTTGCTGTGTTTAATGAGAAGATTTTAAATGATTTTTTCTATGCATTCCTATGTACAAATTTGATCCCCCATTATGGCTCCACCGTAGCCCCGAGAATCATGATTTGAATAATTATTTTAATCTACAATATTAGAGGATGCTTCCACATGAGTTTCATGTTTCAGATCTTAAAGATTTTTTTCCATGTATTCCTATTCTAAACATTGATCTCCCATTATGGCACCACCCAACCCTACCCCTGGGGGTCGTAATTTGAATATACAATACCTTGGGATACTTCTACATGAGTTTTATCTTTCCTTACAAATTGGTTCTTGAGAGGACTTTTAAATCATGCCATTACTTTTTCACTAATTCATAATTATCCCCCTTTTATTTGAACAAACTTGAATTCACTTCAACTAATGATACCTTTTATCAGGCATGGTTGAAATGGCCCCTTTGGTTCTTGAAAAAAGATGAAAATGTGAAAAGTTTACGACAACGACATCAACGATGACGAAAACTGCGATGACGAGGAGGCAGACGACGGGAAAAATTCTGAAAAAAAAGCTCACTTGAGCTTTTGCCTTGAGTGATAAACAAGGAGCATTCTTTTTATTTTGGTCAATCAGAAGATAACGCCACCCTGTGCCCTCATTCAAATTATCCATGTATCTGGTAATGGAAATGTTTCCTGGTCTGCTGGCTTCACATCTACTCCAATTGCTTAATCTTTTTTTAACAAGAGGCCTAAGGGCCTTTTAGGTCGCTTGAGCATCATGCAACAATCCAATGTTTTAATTTGGTTCATGTTTAAGCTACATGTTATGGAATTCACAATTTTGAAAGAGACACCATAGCTCATCATAACCATACACTTAGCAATTGCTTAGTTTGGTTACTTTATACCCATAGGCACAATGTTCACAACATTCATGCCAACATTTTGACTGCATGATGTCCAGGAGTAAAGAAGAATAATCTTTAAAATCATTCATTTTAGTGGTTTTGGCCCCACCCCTCAAGCCTTAAGGGAGCAGGGACCATAAAATTCGCAATTCTTGTTTCCCTACACCCATAGATGCTGTATAGCAAATTTGGTTGAAATTGGTTCAGTGGTTTCAGAGAAGAAGTTGAAATGTTTGAATGTTAACACACGACGTACGACAACGGACGACAAGGGATAGCAATAATTCACAGGATTGACTCAGATTACCAAAAAATTGAAATAAATAAATAAGCTTAGTTTCTTAAATGAATTTGCTAAAAAGACATTGGGAAGCAGGTGAAAAATTGCAGAAAAAAACCTTATATAAATTCATATTCTATTTCAAATATAGTTATTAAAATAAACTGATATATTTACTTAAATTGTATTACTTTTTTAAATACAATTCTAGATATTTAAGTCAGACCTTCTTTTTTAGCAAAATAACCCCTTGTTAATTATTGAATATATTGAGTTTATGTGAAAAATTATATTGACTATCAGTTTAGATATGCGTTAATTTTTTTTTTCTATTCTATCTGAATAGATGATTTTTTCTTTTAAAATCACCTACAAGTTATTCATTTATGCACATGTACATGTCTTCGGGAAACTGGAAAAAATATCTACGAACCAACAAATTCCTGAAAACCTTCAATGTTATATTATTTTTTTTATAATCTATGATCCATGTATTTGGTCCAGTAATCTTAATAAAGTGTCCGATGGCTGTAGACACTGTTATATGTAACGTGGATGGTGGAATAAATACGATAAAAGATCATGTACAAAACGATTGTACATATATAAACAGAAGAAAACTCTACCGTAGTCTGTGTAGTCCTTGAAATCTATACTGATGTCGTAAATACTGTAATTTTCCCCGAGATCTACGCTCCACCAAAAATATTTTTCAGGAGATCCTTTGCCTATACCCATATCCTTCATGCACGTTTTCCTATCGCCATCAATGGCTTTATCTGGACCACAAGGGGGATTACATGGGTGGACTGAGGACTGTGTCGCTGTTTTACTTTTTGATAAATCATCTATGAGGAAGAAAGGATTCAATTCCTATGAGGATGAATATATACAAAGAAAAAATATATATCCTAAATAAACATTCAAACGTCTTGTACATTTATTTACATTTATTTCATTTTAATTACGCATCAATTTTAGATCATTTTTTCAAAATAAGCTATAGCTAACATTTCAGTTATTTTCAATTTCAGATAAGTGGGCAGATTTGCATTATGTCACAACCTATGATGACAGCTGCGCCCAAGATAAATAGCACACGCCTCGTAACCGCAAGCTTTACGAATGGAAGTTTTTTCTAATCCCTGATTGGTTGCTCGTGCAACAGACTATTTCCGTGCCAATGTTGATTATATGTGTTGATCAATCACACAGCGGGGCGTGAAATGTATACGCTGGATGCATCTGTCGAGAAAGATCTTGACGTAATGCAAAACGGCAATCTTAACTGAAATTAATTATAAATTAACATTTACACAATCAATTTCACTGAGTAAAATCTGTGCAAAAATTGAAGTTTGTGTCTTTTGTAAAATAAACCATAAAATCTTGTTTTTTTTCCTTCAGTATTTAAAAGTCTGTTCGACGCAGTAATAAGTTAGAACATGATTTATATATTATGTACCGAGAGCCATCTCTTACACATTTAAGACTCAGTGAAAGATCTGCGTAATTAATTCTACCACCTCCGGTCATGATACCAACTTCCCAATTGCAAGAAGTTGGTCTTTGTACTTGTCCTTTTGTTCATTAAAAGATATTGCGCAAACAATTAAATTTTTTTTCAAGTACTTTGTGAAACATTTCAAAACCTCGCATTTTCCTTGAAAAATCCCCGTATTTATAATTTATTTAGACAAATTTTATATTTATTTGGATATTTGTTTTCTTTGTTCTAACGGACACGGCTTTTATGTTGATAAATTTGTTTAAGGCCTTTGGCCTTTGTGGTGAAAGTTTTTTTTCCCCTGTCCGTCTTTCATTCTGTTTAACAGCAAGAACTTCAACCATGATCATATCTTTTAAATGGTTGGAATTATGATTTTATATCTAACAGGTGTATTTCTTGTGACAGGTTTTTTTTAATTAAGCACTAACATATTTCACTTCTTCTTATTCCTGACTTTGCAGTTTGACTACCTCTGCCCACTTTGCAAAATTATATTTTTTTTAAGTTTGCCGAACAACATGGTGTATTTATTTATCTTATTTGGTGAAGTATTTACGGAAGCCCTGGAGGGACACTGGCTTACCGGTTATGATTTATTTGTTATTATTTATTTGTTGTGACTTATTTGTTTTGATTTTTTTATGCTAGTTATTACTTATGTAACTAAGATATGGATAACGTTTAGCTTGGCTTACATTTATCGTGAAATGATATTTTTAGGCCTTAATTTAACCATGGTTTTTGATTGATAAATTGTAGTTATTACTTATGTAACTAAGATATGGATAACGTTTAGCTTGGCTTACATTTATCGTAAAATGATATTTTTAGGCCTTAATTTAACCATGGTTTTTGATTGATAAATTGTAGTTTAACGTCTACAACAGTTGTGAATACTTAATTCTCATAAGTTATATCTTGTAACTTATTTGTTATAAAGTAATTGTTGTTGTTATTGTTAAATCTTATTTTTTATTTCTTGTTACTTAAAAGTTTTTGCTTTATTCTTAACTGTATTCCAGTTTGCAAAATGATTGAAGACATGAACATAACTACTATAATTTTAGCTTGTCTGTGGTACTTAATTCAAAGGCAAAATATTACTTTCATTTTTTCTTACACTACACGTAGCCTCCATCTTTCACGTAGCAAAACTCACAATTAAATCATAAGAACTAAATCAAAGCACATAAGAAGTCAATGTCGCTTTATGGCTTCCGTTTCTTAATATCTTTTGTACAAAAAAACCCTCACATTTCACTATTACATCTAAATTTCAAAAGTAACAAAAGTTAAGGGGACTTTTAAACCTCAGAGGTGGTTCCATTAAAGGGCAAGCTTCCCCTGTCAAATCTGTCAGGTGTGTCTTGTGATGATCAATCAAACCGAAGGATTCTTAGGGTATTCAATAAATGATGATTTAACAACTTGTATGACAGAATTTCCGGTAGAAAGTTAGAGACTGTATTCACTGACAAGGTCATTGTAATGGGCATATGGTCTTCTAGTAAGAAACGATAGAATGAGTATGTCTACTTACTTACATGTATAATTTGCATGCATTTAATTTCGTAAAAAACGCATTTTCCGGATTTTCAAGACACACTAGGTGGAGGTCCGTTGTTGTCATCAAATCATGATATCAATAAGCCTGCAGTTATACGTTTTAATTCTTCCATTACGGAAATTGAGGGTCAAGTGTTTTATAAATGAAAATTCCATAATAATATTGTTGTTTGTGAATAATGCAATATTTATGCATTGTTTTGAACAGGGGTGCTTTTGACAAATAAATGATTATTTTAATCTTTTAGCTTTGATAAAATATGTTAAATTAAGTTAGCTTGAAAAAAAAAATAAAATAATTATATATATTTTTTTCTGCAAGACGTGTTTTTGCGTGTATAAACTGTGATTGGAATATGGTTCGAAGATTCTAATTTTTTATCACATTTTATTAACGTAGTGACAATTGATAAATTATTTAACTCAAATTACTTTTCAAAGAAGTCGTGTTTGAACATTGGTCTGTACAAGATTCATCATAGCTGTGTGTGAAAAATATTTGCAATCTCTATATTGTATTAAATAGGACTTATTCAATTATTAAATTTTGCATTACACCTCTTTTTATCCGAATTCTCAAAAATTAACAAATACAAACAAGGATAAATCCCATCAATAATAAAAACGAGTTTGCACATTCTTCTTATTTACGATAAATAAAGTGTTTTACTTACCAAATCCAGTCAAAAAACTTATTCCAAGGAAAACAATTGCTAATTGAAAAAGCATGTCCATCACTCATACCTTCAATTCTGACGAGGAAATTTTAAACTTGAATTTTTAAAGGAAAAATTGTAAGGCGGGTAATAGTACAATGATTAAATGCAATATGTTAACTTCGTATCTTCAGTGAATGTGTAGAGCGATCGGGAGGTCGTGAGTTCGTATCTCGGCTGCGACTGACCTACGTCGATAAAAAAATGGGTAGCAACTGTTATTTTGCCATGCGCTCGACACTTTGAAGTGAAAGTTGCGGGTCCTTCGGATGAGACCTTAAAAACAAAGGCCCCGTGTCAGCAGCATGCGTTGCTACGATAAATATCCCTCACTGCTCAATTGCAACGAGTGACAAGTAAAGGTCAAAGTTTGAAGCCCTTCACCGGCATACGGTGACGTGTCCATATGAGGGAAAAATTCTCGAGAGGAACATTAAACAATATACAATCAATTAATGTGTAAAGTTGGTATAATTAAGAAGGTCACAAAAATGTAAAGAAAATGTGAAACATGTAGTTACATGTAAAACAAAATATAACTAGTGCTAATTGTAACGGGGACCGTTACAGATGTTCCCCAAACGCTCCCCAAATCCCTTTTTGTGCTAATTCCTGTAAGACATTTTAAAAAATATGATCAGTATCGAAGGATTTCATCAAAGAATAATAAAAGCTACAATGATATCAACTATATGTCATTTAACGCATTGTACGTGCACGCACGTGCATGTACATGCAAGATGATCACGGCATGTTGTCTAAACAATTAAAATACCTATATCTCGTGAGAATAAATAAAAAAATTCTTTGCAATATACATTTTAATGTTTTTTTTAAATATTGGCCATTTTGCGAATTTCGCGCGTGCACGTGAATGAATGTATGTTCGTGTATTCAATTTCGATAGTACCATTATGTAGGAATCCATTATACCCATTCATAATCTAAATCTTATCCCCTTTCGCTGAAAACTAAGAAAGTTATAGACATTTAAATTTTCAGCCAATCAGATTGCAGCAATCGTGCATGCGCATGCTTTTCATGATAATTCTTATATACCATGCTGTAGATCTTCATAAAGTATAACAAAATTTCAAAGGATTTGAAAGATATTGAGACTTTAGTTTCAGCCAATCAGAGCGAGGTGCACGTGCATGCGCGTGAGATCTTGCTATTTTGACCATGTCCTCTAGTCTATGTTTCTCATATATCCTTATATTATAAATTTCAAAACATTCCATCAAAAATTTAAATAATTACGCCTATATCAATTATATTGGACATTCCTGGCGTTGCACGTGCGCGCTCTTGCATGCACACATGCATGCACAAGTTTCATGATAATTCTTTCATATCAGGCTGTAGATCTTACTAATGTATGACTATATTCAAAATTCCAGAGGATTTTGTCGAAAAATAAGAAAGATATTGAGACTTTAGTTTCAACCAATCAGAGCGAAGCGCACGTGCATGCGCGTGAGATCTTGCTATATTGACCATGTCATCACGTCTATACTACAAATATATACTTATATTATGAGTTTCAAAGCATTTAATCAAAAATTAGAAAAGTTTCGGCTATATCTATTATATTGGTCATTTCACGTGTTGCACGTGCGCGCTCTTGCAAGCACGTGCGCGCAAAATGACCTACTTTCCGCAAATCTACATAATATGCCTACTGACCCTAAAAAGGTTTCGCCTTAGTCGGATGTGTAGTTTACAAGATCACTCGAGGAAAAGATTTTCCCAGGAAGAAGAAAAATAATAATAACTAGACTAGACGAGATTTCGTTGTGAACAACGAGTGGGTCTTCGGTCCGATTCTTGATGAGATGGGATAAGATTTTGATTGAGATTTTTTACAATGATAATATTGTTAAGAAAAACGATTTTGCTGCCGTTATGTTTTAGTAAAAATATTGAACGTTATATAGTCATGATTTCGAATTCTGGCCCCTCTTGGCCCTTTATATGAGGGGCCAGCCCAGATCTGAGCTGCAGGCTTTTAAATTTTTTTTTTGTTCAACAAGTGTTCAGAGATTGTTTTT